TTTTTTAGCTGAGCCATCCTGCCACCATGTTGGCAGCTCAGTGACAGCTCAGCTTGGGCCGGGAATCAAACCGCTGTTGCTCAGAGCTAACACTCTTGAGTGAACTCTTAACCAACTGAGCCACTCGGCCGGCCAGGGGCTGGCTTTTTAAATGAAGGCAGGGGAACTGTTTGCGTTTTAGTAGAAGAAAAGGCAGATTCTGTGGGTGCAGATATTGGTGGTTTGGTTAATCAGGGGTGGGAAAGATGACACCCATTCTGGGTACTTCTGATTTCTTTATATGTATGAGGTGAGGCATGAGTTAAAAGCAAAAGGGCAGACAAAGCACATGTCCGAGAATGTCTCCAGCAGACCCACTCAGAGCAGCCCCAAACTGGAACCAATCCATGTCCATCAGCAGAACAGATAACAGATTGAGGTATATTCACATAACAGTAAACACAGAGCAATGAAAATGTAAGAACTACTGCTGCTCACACACAGTGACTCTCCCAGGCCTAATGAAAGAAGCCAGACACAAAAGAGCACAGATTATACGATTCCTCTTCTGTGAAGTTCTAGAACAAATAAAACCAATCCATGGCAAGAGAAGCCAGAATGGTGGCTGCCTCTGGGGAAGGTGAGGGGATATGGAGAGGCGTTCAGGAGTAGAAATATTCTAGATCTTTACCTGGGTCATTGTCACATGGATGGAAACATTTTTTTTAAATTCACTGACTATATACCTTACTATATATTCATGCATTTTGCTATATTTATGTTATACCTCAGTTTAAGTAAAAAGATTAAGTAACAGGGTGGNGTACCAAAAATCCCAAGAATAAAAAGGATGAAAATGTGGACAAAACCCACATTCTTACGTGATACAGCCAGCACAGCCCCTGCTACTCTAACCACAGAGCCTGCCTAGCTTGTATATGTTGTGGCTGCCAAAACTCCTACATGACCAATGTAGAGAAGAATGTGGAGGTCTTCCGTGGCTATACATATATCTACATAGATATCTATCTCTACCTATCTCCCTATCTATCTATCATCTATCAATCTATCTATCTACCCACCTATATCTTCACCCTGCCCAGGCTTATCTGGGCCATACACGTGTCCAGCATAGCTGTGTGAGATGTCAGGAAATACACCAGTGGAAGTAATATCACAAGGTACCATGTTCTTAGCAGCCAGAACACATGATGACAAAATTGGGTGAAGCTGCTGACCTGAGGTTTGACTGCTGTTCAGTCTTTAAACCTTTCCCTAAAAGGTAATTAGGCACAGCTTTGTGGCAGCTATGGTTCTGTTGGGTTAACTTGCTAGGGAGCCTGCATAAATCCATTTGTGTGCTGTGTTTTCCTTGCTAAGCTTTGTGTTGGGGTGGGAGAAATGACTTGCAGATGATGGAGGAGGCACAATATGCCCTTAGTTCTGTACAGAACCTCATCGTGTAAGAGGAAATGCTGATGCAACTGGTTCATACAAAAGATACTTTGTCAAGGAAAACATTACCAACCCCATTGTTTGTGGTCATGCTTTGTACAGAATCAAAGAGTTTGACCAAATACAAGAAAGTGGTATCTAGTTAGGCCTAGTAGGGCAAATTTTACAGTGAAAATGATCTGCTCGAGAGTCAATGCTACCTTCAGATGCCATCGGTGGTTTTCTTGGCACAAGGCTGAAAGGTCCAGCCCAACCAGTGCGCTGATCATGAAAATGGGCTACATGGTGTGAATCACAGGTCTTTAATCAGAATACTATGAAAGAGAAAATTTGTCTCTCATTAGAAATGCTAAGAAATCTGTCTTTTTTTTTTTTAAGTGGACAAACTGAAATGCTATCAGACTGCAAAAAATTAGCTATTTATGCTACACAGCTTCTCTGAGTTAAGCCCCAGAATTGTTTTTGGGAAAAAGAAAATTCTAACGTGCTTCTTCACTTTCAGCAATGGTCTACGTGGATAAAAGAAGAATAGTGTTATTCTGAAAGCAATTGAATTTAGACGATGAATGTTTACAAAATAAAAACGGGTATAAAGTATTTGTATAGAAATTCGGCTTTAATATTTACAGTGATTTTAAAATAATACCCTACAACTTATCCAGATTTGTGTAATATATGCATTACCATTGGCCACATCTTCATTTTCTATTTGTCTTAATATTTAATCTGATGCAGAATAGACTTCGTTATGAGTGCAGCTCCTAGTTGCTTTTTTAAAAAGTACTATTCAATAAGAAGGCTTATTGCCAAAAGCCTACTAACTATACCTTTTTTGAAGCCTGAATTTATTTAGGTAGGTAGAAAGTCAGAGAATCATCCTGGGCCAAGAAATGAAAGAGGAAACCTTTGTGAACAGTATAGATGGTACCTTTTTGTTGTGTAGTATATTCTGGTTTCATTTTGGGTGAGAGGGTTCAGTAGAAGTATTTATGCTCTTTTATTGTTGTTGTGTTGTCATTGTTTCACCCTTTCAAGTGGATGGGTAGTGCACAGGGCTAAAGCCATAGGAAGAAAAATGTGATGTGTCCAATCTGTATGGTTCCATTTTGCAGGAAGAGTTGAATTATTATTTATAAAAAGAGTAAATGGTAGAAACTATTTCTTAGTTATTTCACTATCTCAAATTTGGAATCATATTAAATTGCTCTAAATATTATTCATGCCTAGAGACATGTATTTTACTAAATCATGTAACAATTTTGTATCGACACAAAATGCTCTACTTATATACACCTGTGAGTCTGGTTTTTTATCTATTAATAATATTTTATGAATCTACCAAACCTTCCTAATGTAGCACCCTGAATTTCACAGAGTACCTTATTGCTTCCAAAGTCTGTATAGTAATTTTTACTTGAAGTTCATTGCTGCATAGGAGCATGGAAATGTACCTGAAGTAGAGCCATGCGTTTGAATGAGAATCTCAATTGTTATACACTATCACCAATGATGAAAATAGATTTATTTAGCATAAGGTTCTCTTTTTTATGCTTATATTGTCACTGCTGTTTTTTAAAAAATTTCTGTTATACTCAAATCTACCAATAAATGTTAGTTTTCTAATTTAAAAAAATAAGTAAACAGAAAACAGGACAGAGAAGACAAGGAACTCAGAAGAGCAGTCTAGGGTCCAACATCCGAATAATCGGAGTTCCAAAACGCGAGAAAGGAAACAGAAGATTTCCCAGAACTGAAGGAAAGGGGTTTCGAGATTGAAATAAGTCATCAAGCGCTCAGCGCAATACATGAAAACAGATCCACACAGGTATATATAGTGAAATTGCGGAACACTGGAGATAAAAGATTCTGTAAGTTTCTGGAAAGAAAAAAATAGATCACCTATGAAGCATCAAAACTCAGAACCATTTCAGACTTCTCGACAACAGCATTAGCTAGATGACAATGAAGCAACGCCTTCAAATTTTTG